CCATCACCATAGAAAAGATTCTACTCACTAATCATAGTTAATTAAAAAAGAAAAACTTAACTAATCATCAAATTCATCATCATCATTGCAAACAAACTAATCAAGATCAAATCAATCAATAAACTTGAAATTGCAACAACTAGTTAAAATCAAATGCAAAGGGATTAAATTAACAAGAAGAATAATCTTACAAACTTTGATCAAATCAAAGAAATTGTGCTTGCATTCTAAGTAGAAAAAAGATCAAATGTAGAAATCACCAATTTCTCTCTTTAAAATCTAGTACAAAAATGGAAGTTCAAGTCTAATTTTAGTTGTTTATCAAAAATAGAAGGAAAAGCTATTTATAGTATAACTAACTAAGGAGAAATAAGGAAGACATCCAAAAATAGACCCGTACGGGCGCACCCTCTCACGAGCATGCGTGCTCGCGAAGTTCTGGGTACGAAACAGGGATCCCAGGTGGCGCGCCGGCGCCAGCAGGCTGCGCCCCCGTGCCAGTAGAGCAGGGGATATCCTCCGTGCACTCTTTGATGTAGGTGGTGCACTCCTCTTGTTCGTCACTAGATATGGAAGTCCCGAAATGGAGTTTACGGTGGGTTCAACACCACGGTTTCATGCGAGTGTAGCTTGTGAGCGCAATCACCAAATCTTGAAGCTAGCCATTCCTTGCCTTGTGAGCTATGTGAGAGCTTCCACCTTGCACTTTGAGCATCCTCTAACCCGAGAAATCATCATGTAGGGTCCACATCCTTGTTGCATCTTCTGAAAGGATTGGGTGGTCTGGGTCTTTGCAGTCTAAGATGCTTGAACTCCGCTTTGCTAGCTAGGCAATGGTGGCGTATTCGTCATCATCCTTAGCTCCTGATCTCTCGTATGTTTCCGGCCATGTATCCCTCACTCTTTTCTTTATCTCCAGGGAAAATCTCGAGGTCTTCTTACGGTTGTCAAAGTTTGCGTTTGGGGATGTCAGCCCTGGTCAAGGTCTTTCTTGGAAAGTGGATTCTGGTTCAAGTTCGGATTCTTGAGGATGACTAGGCTCCAGGAGGTCTAGTTTAGTTTAAGGTTGGTTTGTTTGAGTCGAAAATCTCGATTCTTCTCTCTTCTATTATTGATCCGTGCTCTTACGCGCGGAATCCTTTGAGGATTCATCGGTTCTTTGATAATCCTACTACGCTTCATATTCTCTCTACAAAGCATCCTCGAAAACCTATAGCCGATTTATTTTACTAGAAGTTTACACGTGATGGTCAGTTTTCAACTAAGTCTGCTTACGCAATGCTAATTCATCAATCTATGGTATCTGTGAGAAGTCAACAAGCTTCTAATGCTTGGTGGAAGCGTTTTTGGGGTTTTCCTATTCTTCTAAAGTTTAAAATGTTTTTCTGGAAGATTCTTCATAACGCTTTACCCTTTTCTCCTACTTCAAATGATAGGATTACCCGTGAGTCCCATGTGTGTATTCTGTCACTAATCTCCTAAGACGGCTTCTTATTTGTTCCGTAATTGCTCCTTCATTATCCATCTTTTGGTTAATGATCCTCTCGGCTTTCACTTGAGTCTTGTGCAGCTTCAATCTTTTGAGGAGGGGTTCACTGATTTAATTGCAGGTGTAGGAACAAGTAGTGGAAGGATCTTATTTCTTTGGTTTGCTTCTTTTGTGCATTATGGTTGACGTGGTTTGCTTCTTTTGTGCATTATGGTTGACACGGAACCAGATCATTTTTCGCCTCAGCTACGATCTTTCACATTTATTCAAAGTTGCTAACTAGGTCTGAGAATGCTATAATGTTTACAAGGTCTTTGGCTAGTTAATGTTAGCCTAAGTCCTACTCGCTCCTTGTCTTATGGTTTAGGTTGCCTTCGGATATTCCTCTACTGATATTCCGGATCTTTGTCTAGCTATGGATGGAGCTTGGGAGGCTACGCTCAGGATAATTATACTGGTGCAGGTTGGATTTTCCGTAGTGCACGTTCTTCAGTGGTTTTAGGGGGTTGCTCAAGAGCTTTTTGGGCTTCTTCCGCCATACAGGCAGAGTTACAGACTTGTTATGGGCCCTCAACTCAGCCTATCGGAATGGTTTTTCTCTCCTTTTAATCTATACGGATTGTGCTACGTTGGTGTCTCTTCTCAGGAGTATAAGATCTGCCGATATTTTCGTGTGTTTGGTTATTAGAAGATATTGATCGGACAGTTCTTTCATTCTTCACGGTTTGCCAAAGTCGTAAGGTTCCTCGTTGTTTAGTTTCTCCGTTAACATTGTTGGCGGTGTAAGCTCGTAAATGACCGTTTATTTTTTTGGTCTTTTTAGTTAGTTTTTAAGTTTTTCTACTTCTTAGTTCTTTCTGAAAAAAAAAGAATAAGTTTTTTTCATGCAAATATAAAACGAAAAAGTTTTAGCTGATTATAAAGAATATTGGAGTCTTTTTGGAAGGGCCAACATAATGTTAATGATGCTTATGACCTTAAGGCTATTTATAGTATGAAGCAAACTCGATGAAATAATTTTACAAAAATAGAGCAATATTTTAAGGAAAATAACTCCAACCTTGTATATGCAAAGATATATGTAGAAACTGTATAAACGCGTGTTGCCTTCTCATTAACACATGAAAGAATATATATGTTACAAAATAACTAACTAACCCTAGAATCCAAGATATTCTAGGAGAATAGGATATTAACTATAATACAAGATAATATATTCTAATTAAATATTATACTACCTGTGTTAAATATTAGTTGCAACTTGGGGTATTACTTGTGAGATATAAAATATTCCAAAGTTGCAACGAATAATTAACAGAGGTAATATAAGATAATCCCCAAAAATATTATACGATATTATCAATCCCCCCTCCCCCCACCTCAAGTTGGAGCATGTGGTTAAAAAATGTCTAACTCCGAAAATAAAAAAAAAAAATCAAATTGTTGTTTGCTGAGAGCCTTTGTAAATATGTCTGCAAGTTGAGAAGAAGTCGAAAGATGAGAAAGAGAAATCGAGCCTTCATTAATCGTATCACGAACAAAGTGACATTCAACCTCATGTGCTTTGTTCGTTAATGGAAAACAAGATTCCTTGCTATGTGTAACGTTGAATCAGTATCATAAAACAACTTAATCACATTCTTATGTTGTACACCTAAACTAAAGAATAAACCTTGAAGCCACTTTAATTTACAAGTGACCGCATCCATGGACCTATATTTGGCCTATGCATAAGACTGTGACATTGTATGTTGTTTCTTTGTTTTCCAACGAAATAGGTTATTTGCCTAGAAATACAAGCCAACTACATAAGGATCGAAGAGTGAGAGGGTAAGCTGCCCAATTTGAGTTACACTGCACCAACCCTACTGACTCAAATCACAATCAACACTTAAAACAATACCCTAACTCAGAGTATCTTTTAAATAACAGATCGCCCATAATGCCGCATCCCAATGCTCATTTCGTGGATCTTGCATAAACTGAGATAGAATATGAAAAAATATGCCAAATTAGGATGAGTGACCGCAAGATAGATCAAACGACCCACAAGTCTACGATACGACTCTGGATCTGAAAGAAGATCGCTATTTGCTAGACTAAGTTTGTGGTTTTGTTTTATCGAAAACCCACTGCTCCCAATAAACCTACTTCAGAAAAGATTTCCAACATATATATTTTCATTGGCATTCAAATAAACTTGAAGAAATTCAAGCCACCTTTATACCCAAAAAATACTTCAAAGGACCAATATCCTTCATCTTAAAACAATCACTATGATAGGCTTTTTAAAACAATCACTATGATAGGCTTTAAAAAAGTAAGTATAGTGGAATCATTACTAGAAACAATGAGATCATCAACATAAACTACAACATTTATTTGAACATTACCCTTAGTATATGTAAATAAAGAATAATTTAAATAAGATTGAAGAAAGCCATAATATTTTAAAGCCGTGACGAGCTTTGTAAATTAACAACTGGGAGCCTGTTTCCGACCATTAAATGACTTACGTAATCTGCAAACCAAAGAAGGATTCGAACTTTTAAACCTGGGAGGCAACTTCTTGTAGACTTCCTCATCAAGATCACCATGTAAGAAGGCATTGTGAACATCCATTTGATAAAGCTCCCAATTTTTGGAAGCCATAATAGCAAAACAGGTCCGAACCGTTCACTACAAGAAAAAGCTAAATTTTCGACGGAAAGGTTCCAACGGACAAAAAAATCCGTCGAAAAATACAAAATTTCATACAGATTTAAATTCCGTCGGAAATTTTCGACGGATTTAGATTTTTCGTCTGAAATTTTCGACAGAACTTAAATCCGTCGGAAATTTCCTACGGATTTTTTCCGTCCGAAAATTAATAATTACCGATGGAACTAAATTTCGTAAGAAAGGACGGAGTATAAAGTTCGTCGGAAATTTTCGACGAAAATTTATTTATACAGTTTCGACGGAATTCAATGTTATGAAAAAACAAAGAAGAATCCCAAACCCTAATTGAGTTAGCCACCCCCTTTCCCCTTCATTTTATTTTCTCCTCTATCTCCTCTCTTTCTCTCTCCTCTCCTCACCTCATTTCTCTCGGTTTTCTCCTTCTCCGTCCTCCTGCTCTATTTTCTCCCTTCACTTTTTCTTTTCCTCCTCCCTTTCTCTTCTTTCTTGTCCTCCATCCTCTCTTCTCTTTTTCTTTTCCTCCTCCCTTTCTCTTCTCTCTCGTCCTCCCTCCTCTCTTCTCTTCTTCTCATTTCCCCACGCCGGACGCCGCTGCCCAACCAACACCCCTACCAAACGCCGCTACCCAATCAGTGCCGCTACTCCTCCTGCCATGTTGATCTCTGCTGCAGCCCTCTTCACCGTTCGTTTTGATTTTTCAAAGGTTTTTAAGGTCAAATTCGACCATGAAAATTCTAGATCTAGAAGTTTCATGATTGAATTTAGCCTTATTAACAAAAATTAGGTGAAGTTCGAGGCCAATTTCACAATTTAAGGTATGTTTTGGTGTTTTTAATTTTCTTTCATTTGTTTATAATTTTTTTTTAAAAACAAATTTAGGTTGTGGTGGTGGTGGCTCGTTGGTGGTTTTAGGGTTGCAGTGGGTGGATCTTGGTCGGTTTAAGGGGCTAGATGGGTGGGTCATTGTCTGGGTTGATTTAAAGGGTTAAGTAGGTGGGTCGATCTTTAGGTTAGGTGTGTGGGTTGTGGTCCAGGTCGATTTTAAGGTTCGGAGGGTGGGTCGGTTTTAGGGTTAGGTGGTTGACGATTGTGGTTGGTGGTTTTAGGGTAAGGTGGGTGACGACTAGACCTATTCAACGGGCCGGGCCGGACTTTATATTAAATGGGCCGGGCCAAGCATAATACAAAATGGGCTAAACTTATCCATGGGCCATTAAGCCCAGCCCGGCCAATTTAAAATGTAAAAACAAACTACAACAACCATGAAGTAAACACAATATAAGAGAATTATAAAGGGCTTTAAAGGGTCTTAGCCAACAAGTTAAAAATAGAGAACTAAGCAATGTTCTTGTCACAAATTTGTTACAATCAAGTAACTTAGAAATGCTCTTGACACAAATTAGACACACAAATTTGTTACAATCAAGTGACTCACTAGATACTAATGAGTAGTAACTCCAGTTCTTTCTCTCCACGCTTCCGTGTGGTAGTGCGTCCTGATTTCTCAGGGGTAGTCGAGGTAGCAGGCATATGTTGACCATTAACCAAACCAGGGAAACCAACAGCAGGGATTCTGTCAAACAACCATACAAAGGATTAGAGAATTGCATACCCCGCAAACAAGTGCTGACCTTCAAGTGCTGAGGGAATGTACAATAATGTCATCTACTTTCTATACTTTTAAATTCTAATGGAGATCATAATTATTTTACACCAAAGTACGTATAAGTCCTAATATAAGAAATTGGAATGTACTAGCTTGCATAATACAATTAGTCAATTAGGATTATAAATGAACAAAACAAAATCCAGTCTAACATACTATGAGTCTGACTATCACCTAGCATCCCTTTTAAAAACAATAGTCTATAAGTCTATAGTAATTCCCCTGCATAGCAATCATGAACCAAACAAGTCACACAACAATCCAGAATAAGCAATTGGAAAAACAAGATTAAAAACAAGTCAAATAAAGCAGTTAGTAGGAAATTGGAAGCAAGTCAGATGTTGCATTCAAGGCTGATAAACCTGGCTCTAAGTGTTACTATATTCATTGTATTACTAAGTACATAAGAAAAACAGCAAGATTATAATAATAACAGTAGAAAAATCAAAACAATTACCTAGTATAGGAAAATATCATCAACCTCATCATCATTATCTCCATCATCAACGGCCTCATCATCATCCGAGCTAGAATCACGATCCAAATTTGAAGGGATGTTATATTCATCACGGCGCCAATCTTGAACACAAACTAGGGCTTGAACCATTGAGGGTTTCAATGAGCTACGATTAAGAGATATAGTTTTCCCCCCTACACTAAAAGCCGACTCGGAAGCCACCGTACTAACCGGAATCGTTAGAAGATCCCGTGCCAATATTGCAAGCTCCGGAAGTCTAGCTCCGATTCCTCCAAATATGACTTAAGTTGGGACTTTTTTTGTTTGAGTCCTTGTAATTCTAGAACTATAGCTTTGATAATCATCAAAGAAGTTTTCATCTTCAATCCTACTACTTGTAGTAGAGGGAGCAACAATTGGGGAAGTTGAAAATGTTGACTTATACTCATTCTACAAAGATTTTAAAGTGTTCAACACTTTTTCAACTTGATACATAGCCTCATCCGAACCATATATCTTGTTAAAACAATACTCCACAAATTTTAACTTAAACCTTGGGTCAAGAATTGCCGCACAAGCTAGATATATGTTATACTCGGACCTATTTTGTCAAATTTTTCCAACATAGGTAACACCATTTGAGCTAAAAATTCATTTGGACCTTTAGATGTCTCAAGTAAACGACGATGTACCATACATGCTCCCTTAAAATACATGTTAGAAGTTGGAGACTTATTGGCCGAGAACATACATGTAACATCATAAAAGAGTTTCAAAAAATTGTGAACAACACTCAATTTATCCCATTCATCCTCCAAAGGCACATTACTCTTGAAAGATGCATGTAATGACCCCAAATGAATAAACACATCTTTATAGTAAAGCACATTATCAAGCATCATATATGTAGAGTTCCAACGAACTTGCATGTCCATACAAAGTTTCCTCTTAGCCTCTAAATGAAAATGCTTTTGAGCGGTATCATAAAAATCCTTACTTCTAGAAGATGATCTTATAACTAATTTTACCAAGTTTCTAATCCTATCTAATATGTTCTCAATACAAGATAGACCGGATTGGACAATAAGATTGATGATATGAGCACAACATCTAATATGAAAAAAACAACCACCACTAACCAACATTCCCCTTGATCTAAGACGATTTTTCATGTACTTAACCATCACATTATTGTAACTTGCATTGTCAACCGTTAAGCTAAGCACTTTGTCATCTAAATGCCATTGGTGAAGAAACATAAAAATCTCTTCGGAGATGCTTTGTCCATCAAAAGGGGGTGACAATGATGTGAACTTAATGATCCTTTTATGAAGTTTCCAATCATGATCAATAAAATGGACGGTTATGCAAATGTAATGTTGCCAAGTGTGTGATGATTTCCAATTATCAGTTGTCAAACATATTCGTCCGGGTGCACTCCTCAAAATTTTTTTTATTTCTCTCTATAAGAGGCATACAAAGAAAAAAGGTCTCTACTTAAAGTTGTTCGACTAAATGGTTTAAATTTAGGATTAGACTTTAACATCATCCGCCTAAAACCTTTTTCTTCCACGATTGAAAAAGAATGAGAACCTTCAACAACATACAATAAAATCTCCTTTCTTAATTCACTCATATAAAAAACAAATTCTTCCTCATCATCAACCGCCTCCCCAAGTGGAAGTCCAGTAGATCGTTTTTTACACACTTCAAGCAAATGACGTATTAAATGAGATGTGCCACTATTTTTGTGGGTAATTAACTCCACTTTACAATGCTTACAAATAGCAATTCGCTCACCTTTAGCATTCTTTCCTTCTGTCATTTCTTGCCAAACTTTAGATTTCCTACTCCATTTACGCTTACGGGCGGCATTAGATTCATCAACCTCATCATCTACCGACATTGATGTTGTAGTTGCTTCACTTTTCATGGTTAAAAAAAACTGCAAAAGTAGGTAAATAATAATAATTAGTAGTCTGTCAACTTCGTTTTGAAAAAACAAAGACAATGGAGAAATGATATTTTCAACAATGACCAGTTTTTGTTGTAAAATGAAGCTACTCTAGTATTCTTAAGCAGCAAACAAAGTGATTTAACAAAAGACACCCAAAAGGTTCATAACACTTGATCTCAAACATGCTCCTTGATTATATTCTTAAGTATAAATATTTATTATGTTTAGTCATTGTCCCTGACTGAACTTATTGCATTACACTTTTAGATCAGCAGATGCAAATCAAGCAATATATAATAGCATAAGATTATATATGATTTTTGTAACCGATTTCCAATTATATCTCCCCATAAATCGGGTTAAGAAACTCTCCAAAAAGGCCCACAACAATCAAGATATTATGGATATAATCACAAATAATATACAAAAATGTGAAGCATTCAAATTCAAAAAGAGCAATCAAATTCATGAACGAAAACTATACAAAAATTGGTATAATACAGAGTACAAGCAAGTAGCACTCCAACATCAATCCACGATCTCAGCAAGTAGTACAATCAAGCAAATCAACAAATCAAGAAAAAATGTACTACCTAATTATGTGTGGATTACCTCAGAATGAAATGCTAGAATCAATTGAAGAAGAAGAGAGAAAATTGCGAAGCGAGAGATCTAATTGCTTCTCATACGATCTAGATATCGAAGTCGATGAATTGATGATGATAAGAATAAAGGAAGAACAATAACATTAATCAGATGATAAATCTGAACAATTTATGCATTCGAGTATAATAATTTGGGGGAAATTGAGAATTTTTTAGGGTTCATAATTTGGGGGAAATTGAGAATTTTTTTTTCAAGGTATTATAATTTGATGTTAGGAAGTTTTTAAGATAAAAAAAGTCTTATAAGAGTTATCCAATTTCAGCCCTTTTTAATTTAGACCCAACCCTTTAAAAGCCCATTATTTAATAACCCTTTAAAAGCTCGCCCCATTTAAATATTGGATGGATAAAACTCTTTTATAAAAGGGCTGGATCAGGGCTTTAAATGGGCCCCTAACCCATTGAACAGGTCTAGTGATGGCTATTGGTGATTTTAGGGTTAGGTGGGTGGGTCAGCTAGGGTGAATGGGTTTGGGTCAAGGTTAGTAGGGTGAATGGGTTTGGGTCAAGGTCAGTTAGGGTTAGGGTCAGGGTGGTGGGGGCTGGTGGCGATGGTGGTTTTTTTTTTAGTTTTTTTTTATTAGTGGCGGTGGAGGCTGGTGGCGCTGGTGGTGCAACGTGGTTTTTTTTGGTTTTTTATAGGATTTTCCGACGGACTTTTTCGGGCCGGAAAATCTCTTCCGACGCCTGAATTCCGTCAGAAAAGCTCGTTTTTCGGACAAATACTTTTACGATGACAGTTTTCGACGGAAACACGTTTTCTGACGGAAAACTGAGTGTTTTCGACGGGAAAATTATGTTGGAAATCGCCTGTTTTCTAGTAGTGGTTGTCATTTTTGCAACTGGAGAAAATGTTTCATCATAATCAACTCATGCCTTCTGATGATTTCCAAACACTATCAAACAAGATTTGAGTCGCTCAACATCCCCATTGGACAATAAAAACTAGGTCTTGTAGACCCATTGACTTCCACGCCCTCTATTACCGGGTGGATGACGGTCTAAGGTCCATGTGCCATTATCTTCTAAAGCTTGAATTTTTCTTTCATAGATTGTCCCCAATCATCATATTTCTTAGCTTCCTAAAAGTTTTCGGATTGTTACCCTTGATAATTGCTGTAAGAAACTTCCAATAATTCACAGAAAAATTGTCACAACGTATATAATGTGCTAAAGGATAAAGAGTACTTGAGAAATGATCGAAAGTGGACGGACTAATAGCAAAAACCGAGTAAGGGATGTAGTCTCGAAGCTTAACTGATTGTGGAATGCCCCAATACCTCTTCCTCCGTGGAAGGCTGCTGACCTCGGCCAGCAACTGCTAGCTGGTCAGCAGGTTGCTGTTACCGTTGTGATACACAGCCAAGGGGCTGATCAGTAGGCTGTTGCTGCAGTGTATAAGGTTTTGAATAATTGTTATTAGATTTGTGTATTTGATTGCTTGATAATATCAGAGTTACAAAGCTGTATTTATAGCTAAACAATGAACGTAACTAATACCACTAAATAAGCTAACAACCTAATGAGATAAGCTAGAAGGATAAATATCCTTATTATTAGGAAGCTAGTTAAGATAAGCTTTGACTAACTAAGAGAAGACTAAGTACAAACAGAAAGCTCGTAGGCTAAGAGTATTACTAAAGATAAAAATAGAATAACTGAAGTTATTCATTTACATTCCCCCTCAAAATGGACGGTCGAAGGGAAAGTCCAATCTTGAAATACGACTATTCCTTAACACGCCCCCGTAAGATGGACGGTCTGTAGACAAGGCCAATCTTGCAGCACAAGGTAGTGAGTAGGTTTCTCCATAAGAGTTTGGAGAAATAGTTTATGCTTGACAACACTTGGTAGATAAACTACGGGTTGTCGAAAATGATTTTGTTCTCCGTAAGGGGTGTGGAGAAAATAATAATTGATAGTTGGCTATCCTTGGTAGAAAGACTACATGGTGTCGAATTATGGTTCTCTTAGAGGGTTTAGAGAAAAAGAAAAAATATTAATAATTGGCATTTCGTGGTAGATAAAACTACATGGTGCAGAATTAAAAATTAGTTTTGCAGACATTCCATGATAGATAAACTACAGGGTGTCAAAGAGGGATTGTTTCTTCATAAGGAGTTTGGAGCTATCCGAGAGGGAAGTTGAATATGGTCACCATCATTTGTCTTCGTTGACAAAGGGTTTTGATGGTGTAGTCATGATAGTAGCGGAAGCGAAAAAAAAAGTTGGATCAATAGCTCATGATACCATATAAGGTTTTGAATAATTGTTATTAGATTTGTGTATTTGATTGCTTTACGAAGTTTGCACACATGAGTAGGTTTATCCTTGTCAATAAAACCTGGTGGTTGTGACATATAAACATCCTCCTTGAGAGAGCCTTGGAGAAAAGCATTGTTGATGTCCAATTGTCTAATTGACCAATTATTTGTCACCGCAAGAGAAAGCATTAACCGCACCGTAGTTGGCTTTATCACAGGACTAAATGTCTCTGAAAAGTCAATACCTGGGCGTTGGTGAAACCCCTTGGCTACTAGTCGAGCTTTGTAGCATTCAATAGTGCCATCGGACTTGCATTTGATGCGATAAACCCATTTTCAACCAACCAAATTTTGAGATAAGTGTGAGGGTACAAGATCCCAAGTACGGTTACGGGTTAGAGCACCATGTTCTTCTGTCATGGCAGCACGCCATTGAGGGTCTTTCAAAGCTTGAGTAATGTTTGTGGGCTCGGTTCGTGGTGAAGTTGTGGTGATATGGTAAGCAAATTTTGGATTTGGTTTAATGATATTATTCTGGAGCCTTGTAACAATCGTCCTAGTTGAACAGGGAGGGGGGGGGGAGGTGGAGGTGGTGGTGATGGTGGGGAGGTGGATGATGGCGTGGGTATTGTGGCGGAAGCATTGGGTGAAGGAGGGTGTGGTTGTGAGTGTTGCACAGGTGGTGTTGGGGCTTGCATTGGTGATATAATTGGCACATTAATGACACACCATTCTTCCACCGAAGGGACCTTAGAAGGAGTAGAATAGTTTCTGCACAAATCAGCAAAAGGAAACACATCTTCTACAAATATCACATGCCTTGATGTATAAATACGATTAGTTGAGGGGTGTAAGCAATAGTAGGCACTTTGAGTTGGTGAGTACCCAACAAATACACAAGGCAGAGACTTAGGATCCAACTTATGAGAGGAATATGGCTTTAGCCAAGGGTAACATAAACATCCAAAATTTTTAAGCTTATGATATTGAGGTGAAGTGCCAAATAACTTAAGATAAGGAGATTGATTATCTAGAGTCGGAGTGGGAAGCCTATTAATGAGATATGTGGCAGTTGCAAGTGCATGTGGCCACAATGTGAGAGGGAGATTAGCATGGGTGCATGTACACTGTGTTAGTGAACCAACTCAACGTACATGCCTGGCCAGCGCCCGAAGGTAGCAACGAAGTGGCCTGATTCGTGGCATGCTCCTCAGTATATGCTATAGTATGCATTTCTTCAGCAGTGGGGGTTGGCTCTAGCGTGACATGTCCTTGCATAATTTCATCAATTTCATAAGTCATATCGTCAACATCAATGTTATTATTATCATAGGCCGCAAAGTCATTGTGAATGTCATTATTTGTGTCATTCACAAGAGGCAGAATATTCACATCTTTGGAGCTAGCAATCGGAAACGTATCTTTAACAAACTCATGAGAAATGAAAAACTCCTTTGTATCAAGATCATACAACTCCCATCTTTCCTTTCCAAATGGATACCCGAAAATACACATTTTCGACTTTTACTTGCAAATTTATCTCCATTTGTTTTCTGAAAATACGGGCCTGGCTGTACCAGTCACCAAGAGAGAGAAAGAGATAGGGTCTACTTTACAAGATCAAAGGAGGTTCTATCCCAAAATCACATGCCAATAGGAGAAATAGCCTCATAGCCTTATAAAATGTTTTACTATTTTCCCCTCCCCCCTCAATGTGGGATAATTACATGAGTTGTTTGGGAAGTTTATACTTCAACACTCTCTCGCATGTAAAGTCCCTTAAATTTCGTCTTATGTGATGTTTAATGGGCTAGAGTGCATTTTTTCACTCCCCCTCACATGAACCCACTTTATTTGGCCTAGTGTACTCACTACTCAAGCAATTAAAGATCCCAAACCATGGGTCTTGCTCCGGTACCATGTACATGTTGAATTAACTCGGCTTGCCTTCTCATCAACCGAAGAAAGAATATATTATATGATATCACCTTAATAATATAAATATATGATATTCTAAAAGACTAAAAGTAGACATTTAAAAATAAATCCGACAAGATCATATCCAATAGACTATAATCCGTCCGTGTTTTTTTTAGTGTTATAATTATCAAGGTTAAGCCCCGTGCAATAGATGCACGGTTGTTCAATAATTATTAGGAAAAGGGTTTTTGTTTTGAGGCCACGTATAAAATCATATTGAACAATTTAATAAATAGCCACATATAAAATTATATTGAACAATTTAATATTTTAGAAAGTTTAGTTTTATATTTTATGTAAAGGAAATGTAATAAATCAGATACAATCTTTTTTTTGTTAAGTTATAATTTTGTAAAGCAAGGATTATTGTGGAAGATATTTTTTTGTAGCTACTGTTATTGGTGGGAAAATATTTAATAACATGTTGTCAAATGTCCCTTTTGGTTTTGCTTTTAGTAATTTGTAATAGATGTGGCCGTTTTTTTTTTTTTCAAGTATTACACTTTTTTTTTCTTTTCCAAAACTACATTTTAATATTATATCTTCTCCTCTCATGGGCCCCACCCACTATTATTTTTTTTGTTTTTTTTTTGTTATTTAATTTTTTTTTTATCACATTGATTACTATTTAATAAATTATTAACCTCACTATGTTTCCATTACCTATTTTGATACTCCAACTACCTCCACTGAAAATTAAAATCAATCAAATTGCCTAAAAGCATGTGACAGTCAAGTATAACACCTAAAAAAAACATGGAGATAATGTATTTTAATTTCTTACTTCGTGTAGTGCAACTAGACAGCTAGTGATACATTGTGATCACAGTTTGTAGTAAAATACGGAGGACTCACAAAAATGCAATGTAACAACAAATGAGGGCAAAGAGAGTATGTTTAATGATACCTCCTATGCCCTCAAATAAAATCTTCATGTCTCCCGATTACAAATTTAATTGAGTAATGATGGTTAAATTACTACAATGATCAAATGGGGTTACTATATCCAAATGCTTACGCTTTCTCTTATTAATTTCGACTCTTTAGGGTCTTAAGAGCTATTATTCCGTAATTATAATCTGCTTAATGTTTGTGTGGTAGGGAGTATTGAATGTAAGTGTAGAAGGCAAGGTGGAGCTATTAACAGATGAGGTAGAGGGCAGAAAATTGAAATTTGCAGATGGAGTTGATATTGCTAAAGATGGGATGATTTATTTTACAGAAGCTTCATATAAATATAGCCTGCCTAATTTTATTTTCGACGTTTTCGAAGGCAAGCCTCATGGTAGTTTGTTGAGCTTTGATCCCATCACCAAAGAAACAAAAATTCTAGTTCGAGATCTTTACTTTGCTAATGGAGTTCAAATCTCTGCGGATCAAATATCCGTCATCTTTTGTGAGACTGTCATGTAAGCCTTTGGTTTTGCCACCTTTTAGTTTCATTAACATTTCCTTTTTTCGTCTCACTAAAATTGCCTCATTTGAAACGATATTACTGTAGTTTTTTTGTTGCAATGAGACCATATTAGATGGAACACATGGAGTAATATACATTTTAAAAGTCTGAAATTATTTATCATGTGTAACTTTAATATGTAACGTGACAACTAAGGTAAAATTTTGTGGAGTTGTAGACTCACTAGCTAGATAAATGTCAATCTTGTGTATGATGTGAGGAAAATTGTACATAAAAATTGTGTTTGAACTTCGATTCGCTTAATTGCACATTGCTACTGAATATTAATTACATTTTATAATTACAGGAGAAGATGTAAGAAGTACATTCGAGAAGGGGAAAAGCAAGGAACATTGGAAAGTTTTGCCGATAATTTGCCTGGTATGCCTGATAATATTAGATACGATGATGAAGGCCACTACTGGATTGCATTTTCTACGGTATTTGATCTTTTTCCTTATATGTATTGAAAAACATGATAAAAGACCTGTCATCTATTAGATATATCCATATATGGAGTACATATTGTTTTCCCATTTTATATACTTTCGTACCATACTAAGTTTTGTTTGATATTATGTTGTAACAGTCACCAAAGCCATATTGGGATATAGCGTTGAGGTACCCTTTTATTAGAAAAGGGTTGGCAATTATAACAAGATATATTGGTCGACCGCACATGGAGAAAAATGGAGGATTGGGTGCAGTTGATCTGGAAGGAAATCTTGTGGCTCACTATTATGATCCAAAATTATCAATGATCTCAGTTGGAAATAAAATTGGAAACTATTTGTATGTTGGTTCACTTCATGCTCCTCATATCTTAAGTCTTAATTTAGCTACACATGCTGCTAAATAGTATGCGATTATGTTATGTCTTTCATATTACCCAATGATGTCAGTTTGAAACAGAAGACATAGTATGGGGTATTATGTTGTAAGACATAGTATGTGTAATATGTTATGTCTTATGTTGGGTATTATGTTATAAGACAGTATAAGATTATAGTATTGGGTATTACTACGTATACGATTACCCATCAACTGATATTACCCAATGTGAGGTATAATATCTTATAGTATTGGATTATTATGTCTCAGTTAGGTATTGGGTAATCTTATAACATAATATTATAATATAGTATTGCGTATAAGATTATAGTATTGGGTATTATAAGATTACCCAATGATGTATAAGATTAGAGTATTGGGTATTATAAGATTACCCATCTTACCCAATGATGTTGAAACGAAAGATGTTATGTCTTACATATTACCCAATGATCTCAGTTTGAAACGGAAGATGTATGCGGTTATGTTATGTCTTACATATTAACAGTAATTTAGAAGATTCTCTCATCTTATAAATAGTATTAAGATAACAAATGGGATGAAAAAAGAAACGGAGGCAAGTATGTTATAGGAAATCCCTTTCTAATTGAATATTCAATCCGTGCTCAGCTTTGTAGACGGATACTCCCTCCGTTTTTTTAAGTGCCCCATTGGGGTCTGCTCGGAGTTTTAGGCAAAAAAGTAAATTAATACTCGTATATAAATGGGTATGGTTAGGAATAAAAGTTTGAAAAAGTAAGAGAGAAAAATATAAATAGAGGACTACTAGGTAGAATGTGAGAGGAAGAAATATTATAAAATAATGGTGGGTCAAAAGGAAGAGAGAGAGATAATATATAATTTGATTGGGTTTCTAAATTTGATAACGGGGCATTTAAATAAAAACGGTTGTTTTTTAAAATTGGGACACTTAAAAAAAAGGGTAATGCTATATGTAGCCCTTTATAAGCATTAAATACACTCTTGAAAATTGTATAAAATTAGGAATTCATGACAAAAACACGCATAAATCAGTGTAATTAGTGTTTATATTTCTATGATTTCCTAAATTTATACAATTTTCTAGTGCGTATTTAATGATTATATGTAGCCCTAAAGACTATGTATAGTATTTAAAAAAAAAAAAAAAAAAGTATATCACAAATTAAATTATTGAAAGGTTATTAAAGCCCTTCTTGAAGAGTCACATGAATCCAAATTTGTGAACAACGTATAGTACAAACTTTGTTGGTGGGTCTTTGTAATATTTAGGAAAATTTCATTTTTGCTACAGAAAAACACGTATTTCACTTTTACTAGCCGGGAAAATTTTAATTTTATTTTATTACCATACATAAACAATTTTGTTAAAAATTGCTACCACTTAACGGAATCCGATAGGGTTCCGTTAAGTTTATTCAAAAAAAAAATTTTAATGTTTAAAAAAAAAAAAAAAAAAAAAAAAACCCAGCCACTACCTTCAATTGCCAGCCCCCTCCCATCAGCCACCCTACCCCCTGTCGGCGCCCAAAGCGTCGCCCGGCGCTGGTGACTCCAATCCCCCTCCCTTTCCTCCACCTACGCAGCCCACCTCCCTTATCCCCTTCTCGCTGCCCCAACCCCCACCCCGAAACCGGAAAACAACCCTACCTCCCCATCCCCCACCCAAAACAGCCACCCCTAACCCTTAAACACTAGCCCGACACCACCATAAACGAAACCCTAAATCATGTTTAGGGTGGTTTCAGGCTGGTGGTTTAGGGTTAGAGATGCCGATTTTTGGTGCTCGGGAGTAGGGCGACTTGTTCGAAGGGAGGAGCAGCAGCAATAGCGACGCATTTTGGTGGTGTTGCGAGAGGTTGAAGGTGAGTAATGGTGGTGCGGTGGGAAGAGTTTTTGTGGGTAGTTGAGAGGAGTAGGGATGGTACGGTGGCTGAAAGGTTGGGTTAGGGTCGCGGCGATGGGGGAAAGCCTGCGCCGGTTGGAAGATGTACCTAGCACTAGCAGTAAAGGGGGAGGGGTGGCTGATGGGGAGGGGCTAGGCTCTTTTTTTTTTAAAAAAAAAAAAATTATTTTTTGGTGGCTGACGGGGAGGTAGTTAGGGCGGCTGAGGAGGGAGGGGTGGCCAGAAGGTGACAGTGAGGATTGCTGGATCTCACTAACGGAAATTGTAATTGAAACTGTTAAGTGGTAGTGAAATATAACTTATGTGATTTTAGGTAGTAGCAAAATAAAATAAAATTTATGATGGGTAGCAAAAGTGAAATAGGGGTGTTTGAGTGGTAGCAAAAGTAAGAATTTCCCAATATTTACTCTCTAGTCTTTTTCAGTTAACACTCTTGTACTTTGTCCGACTTTCCTTAGCCTCTAGACATCATGGCCGAGTCAAACCCTAATCCATTAGGCGCAACAACTGCAGCCGCTAGTAGATTATGCTTTACACGTCGCTCCAATAGTATTCGCAGTAGCTGTAGTTTTATTGTACCAAGCTGACCCGTTTGATCCAGCATCACTTCCTGCACACGAGTTAACCAATAAAAAGGTACCTACGGCAACAAAAATCAACAGTGGGGTTCTTAAGGAGTCGGAGTTCATCGTGTCTGGTCAAGTCTTCGGCCCCGAGGATGTGGCTTATGAGCCTAGATCACGGTACATGTATACTGGTTGTGCAGATGGATGGATCAAGCGGATCAAGGTTGGTGAATCCGGTGTTGACTTTGTGGTTGAGGATTGGGTCAATACCGGTGGGCGCCCACTTGGAATTGCTAAATAATGGGGATCATATCGTTGTTGCTGATGCTTGCAAGGTACATTACTAACTTATGAGCAGGGCAGCACTTATACGAGGGCTATTCGATTAGTGTCTGACTCGGCCTTGAGATATCACGTCCGAGACAGACACTATATTTGTGTAATCGAATCATAGTTCAAAACTAAAAGGGATTATATAATTTTGCAAAGACACAATGTGAATTACAACTTTACAAGGGTTCATAACCTGAAAAAGTCCTTACTATAATTTGTATTTGAAGTACAAGTACATGTTTTTACAAAGGGTAAGATGATTTAACTTGAATGTTTCTATCCAAACAATATGGACATATTGAGGCCAATTCAAAGCCCTTGTTTAGCTCACCAAGTTTAAGTTACAACTAAGATAAATTTAAACAATTTCATATAAGATAAAGTTCAGAGAAGTGACAATCACATGAATAAAACACACCTTAAGTTAGTTTGAACATTCAGTTTGGTATGTTAAGCAATAATCCAAGCAAAGTTTGGATGAATTAATCCAAACCAGGTTGAAACTTGTTAGTTTGGGATTAAACCAATTCAACGTACATTTTCTCATACAACGGTTGTACCGCTTGGATTCACGTCCCTCTTACATTTCCCAAAAACTGGGAGGTTTATCTGAGAGTTGAACTTATAAAATAATTTAATGCTTTTATACTATTTGATTTGAATTGGTTGAAAAGCCTTATGGTGTTATTATAATGTGACATTTATTTTCACATGCCCTGCTGAAAATCACAATGAACAAAGAAATCAGTCTACTTACTAATGAAGCTGCAGGAAAGAAATTCAAGTGCACAGATGGTGTTGATATTGCTAGAGATGGTACAATATATTTCACAGATGCTTCATACAAATACGGGTTTCATAATTACTTGAACGACATCTTAGAATACAGACCGTATGGCAGACTACTGAGCTATGACAACAATACTAGAGAAACAAAAGTTCTACTTGAAGACCTCTACTTCCCCAATGGAGTTACAGTTTCGCCTGATCAGAATTCACTCATCTTTTGTGAAACGCCTTTGTAAGCTTTCAAGTTTTCGCTCTTAAACTACCACTAATCACAGACTGCACTAATCGTTTTCTTTGATCGAAATTTATCCTCCAAGTCATTAAGCATTAGACGTATATCAGAATGATGTTCAACTATCTGGTGTATGCGCCACTCAATTCATTCTAACAATGCAGGAAAAGGTGCAAAACATATTGGATACAAGGTAGCAGGAAGGGGGAAGTTGATGTATTCATCGATAATCTACCTGGTTTTCCGGATAACATCCATAGCGATGGGCAGAACAGATACTGGATCGCGATGTCCTCTGTAAGGCTTTCAAACTTCTTAAACTTTAATTGATGATTAAAGTGCCTTTATTGAATGGTGTAATTGTCCTGTCTGTTACGATGAACACCAGTGGCTTAATCCGTATTTTGAGCAAGCAAGGCACTACAGATTTGTACGGAAGTCCCTGTTGATAATGGACAGATACATCAGTAAACGCCATATACAGAGAAATGGCGGAATTCTTGGTGTAGATCTTGAGGGAAACCCAACAGTGCACGTCTATGATCCAGCTATGTCACTCATCACAAGCGGGATTAAGATTGAAGATCATCTATATATTGGATCTCTAAATTATGACCATATTATTCGCTTCAATTTGAGCAGTTTATCATCTCAGCATCTTCCAGACTTTGTAAACAACAAACTGGTATTTTTGACATTGAAATCTTTCAGCAATATATAATGTAATAAACATGATTTTACAAATCATATTATGTACTGCTTGCTTTGCTTCGTTTAGTATTGAACTGTTAGGCATAACTCAAACTATATTATAAAACTATGCTACACAAAAGAATTAGCATCATATGTATGTCATAAATGTAATATTTACTCCGTTCAAAATTAACTGTCAGTTATACTATATATAGATATCCGAATATTGTAACAACCAATATATTACAGTAAGATTTTCTGTTATCTTCAACAACATGGGACAAACCTATATGACAGTCAAACAGATTCTTGTCATATCAACAGATAAAGGCCTGTAGCCTATTCAAAATTCCTTGTCTTATGTAAGGCATCCCATAGCCTTGGCCTTTTCTCTAAGAATAAACTTTTGGAACTTACCAGTTGCAGTCTTGGGTATCTCCTCAAAGATGACACATTTAGGAGCCATGTAATGAGGCAAATGATCACGACAAAACTTGATTATTTCCTGCTCAGTAACCTCGTAACCGTCCTTCAACTTTACAAACGCACAAGGTATTTCACCCCAGTGATTATCAGGTCTTGCCACAACAGCCGCCTCAAAAATAGCAGGGTGGCTGTATAGCACAGTCTCTACCTCGACTGTGCTTATATTCTCTCCACCAGAAATGATTATATCCTTCAAGCGGTCCTTGATTTCTATGTAATTGTCAGGGTGTTTCACAGCAAGGTCGCCAGAATGAAACCAATCTTCTCAGAACGCTTCTTTTGTCGCATTCAAATCCTTCAAGTATCCACTCATCACAGTATTTCCTCTGAACATTATCTCCCCCATTGTTTTACCTGTTCAAAATTGTCAGAAATTCTCTGTTACTTTTTTAATTTTAACAAGAAATTCCCTGTTTTTACCATATAATTTAGTTATGCTAGATAATATGAGAGCCTGAGAG